TTTTTCGGTTGTTAGCCCACTTACATATTTCTTATTGGGCCCTATCTTTTCTAACCTAAAGCCCATACCTATTTTCCCTATATACCCATTGCCCCATCACTGTTGCTATTAGTGTGAAAGTGTTGGGCAGCCCTTTTTTAGAGAAAAAGGAGTGCATTGGCTTTGTGCTTCATACCTTGGCTTTGTGCCTATTCTTCTACCTTTCTCTTTGCCTTAGTGGTTGATATTTCGCTCCCAATAGTATTCACATTCAGTCCTTCGTGGGCAGCCTGTAGAGCAACCGTTTGTGAGTTTTGTGTTGGTTTAGGATTGTGTTGCAATTGTGGTGTTCGATTGAAAGTTAACTGAGCCTAGTTTTTTGGTGTGAGTGGAGCTCAATATTTTACATATGGTATCAGAGCCAGAGCCACTTGGGTGGTGAGAAATCCGGTGTAATAGAAAAAAAAGTGAAGAGGGCAGTCGGGCTCACGCGAGTTCTTCAAGGGCTTGCGCCCATTCTTTTTTTCAATTCCGTCCAATCCATCCACTGCTCAAAAAAATTGAACAGATATTCAAGCTCTACAGGTGGAGGCGTTGCCGAAGTTGTAGAAATTTCCGGTGAAATCGACGAAAAACGGAGGAGAGCTCACGGATCTGTGCAATTTTTCGATTTCAAATTCCGGCCAAACCATTGACTAGAAGGAAAATCTGAGGCAAGACCCATAATCAGTAGGCGGAGGCGCTGCTGTAGGTGGTGAGCGTGGTAGAGGTGACCGCCGGCGGCAGCGGCGGCACGTGGACCTTTTTTCGATGACGGTTTCTTCAGGCAGATTGTTAAGTTTAAGTTCCTGAACGTACTAATACTTTTGTTTTAGTGTTTCAGGTTACGCATGAAAAGTTAGACGGTTTTGCCCTACACGTTCGGGATTCAGTTTTGCATTCTATTGGTTGCTGCAAACTTTAGGGCGAATAGTGGTGGCCCTAAAGTGTTAAAACTATATTCTTCGAAATTTACGAACTCAGATAAGTCCGCTCTGGTAAATTGGCTTATCCCGTTTAAATTTCAGCATTAGCGCGTCATCGTATAGGGTGACATTAGGATTGGGGTTACCGTGAAGGGATAACCATTGCTTGTGCTAGAAATTTGGGAATGAATTGCTTTATTTGAAGTGTTGAATTTGATTGC